AACGCCTCGACGGACGGGGGGGGGGGCCTGTCACCCCCCCACAGTCCCCCATCCCTTCACATTGTGGGCTCCTCACCCCCCACCCCCACAGCTTCCCCCAAGGTGGCCCTCCCCCACAGCCCCTCCTCAGGCCCCCACCTCACACTGGGGGCTCCTCACCCTATCCCACAGCCCCCACACCACAGGGGTCCCCCGCTCTGCTCCCCACAGCCCCGCCCCCCGCTTCCCCTTATGCAGCAGGTGATTCTCTTCCAACCCTCTGGGTGCTCCCTAGGTCCCCTTCCCCCCTCCACAGCCACCCCCTTGCTTCCCCACACGAGGGGACCCCCCCCCTCACCTTGACGTAGGGTACCCGGTTCTTGTCCTCATGCACCGACAGGTTGGTCTTGGTCACTGGGAAAAGAAAAGGCTGATCTGGAATGGGGGGGGGAGGGCCCATAGGTGGGGGGCAGCGGGGGCTGGGGAATCGGGCCCCAGGGGTGGGGGGCAGCGGGGGCTGGGGATCACACAGGGCCCCCCAATAGCACCCCCTGGCCTGCTCCCCCAGCTCAGCCACTCAGGAAGTAGAAATAGCCCCCTCTGCACCCCGCCCCTTGACCCCCCCCCCCGGTGACCCCATCTGAGCCCCCCTTCCCCGCTCTCCTGGGGGGCATCACTCACCATCCAGCAGGTCCCGGATTTTGTCCAGGTAAATTTCAAAGTAAGAAACCTGGGAAAGAGCGAGATGGAGCCACGTAAGCACAGATGGGGGGGGGGGATGAGCCCATAGGGACCCTCCCCAGGCCCCCAGGGTCACCCCCTGCAGCTCGCTCAGGCCCCCATAAACCTCCCCATCCTCTTCCACCTCAGAGATCCCCAGTGCTTCCCCCCACCCCAATCTGAGGCCCTCTTCAAATCCCCCCAGAGTCTCCCATCAGCACCAATCCCAGAGCCCCCCCCCAGCTCTGACCCCAGAGCCCCCACAGGACCCCCTCCCACACCCACCCCAGAGCCCCCCCGAACCCCAACCCCCATGGCTCTGACCCCAGAGCAATCCCTGGACCCCCTCCTCCAGAGCTCCTACCCCAGAGCCCCCCTGAACCCCCTCCCCCACAGTTCCCATCCCAGAATCCCCCCCCACACACACCTTGATGTGGAACTCCAGGTTCTCGTCCATGGCATAGATGTGGTTGAAGATGTCGCGAGCGATGCGCGGGATGATGCCCATCAGCTGGGGGTCGTGCAGCTTCCCCTGGGGGCGGGGGGGGAGGTCAGTCGTGGGGCCCCGTCTCCCTGGGGAGGGGGCCTAGCTCCAGCCCCCTCCCTCACTCCCAGCAGATTTTAGGGGAGACCAAGGGGCTAACTTCCCCCCCACACACTGCCCCCAGTACCAGCCCCTCTCCCCAGGGGGGGCATCACCCTGCCCCCCCAGCCCCACCTGTCTCACCTCCATGGTGTGGGTCTTCCCCGACGACGTCTGCCCGTAGGCGAAGATGGTGCCGTTGTACCCAGCCAGCACATCTGCAAGAGACGGGGGTAAGCGAGAGCCCCCTCCCCCCGCACAGCCTCCTCTCCTCCCCTGCCCACTCTCCCCCACCCCTTACTCCCCCACTCCCCTCCCCTTCCCCCCGCACCCACCCCATCCACACTCCCCCAGCCCCCCCCACCCTGCACTGCTCCCTGCAGCTTGGATCTGCCCCCCCATCCTCCCCCCACTGCTAAACTCCACGTTGGGGTGCCCCCCTCCTCCCCCTTCCCCGCTCACCCTTGACGATCTGCATGGCACAGGCATGGTACACCTGCTCCTGGGTGGTGTTGGGGGGGAAGACGCGGTCGAAGACGTAGGGCTTGCCCTGCGGGGGAAGCAAATGGGGTGGGTCAGTCCCCAGGCAGAGACCCCCACCTCTGCCAGAGGGTTCACCCTGTGGCCCCCAGGCCTAGTCCCCCCCACCCCCTCTGTGCCCCCTCCCTCCCTGGCACTGAGGGGATGAGCCTGGTGCCAACACACAGAGATAGAGCACCCTCCTTCCCCCCCCCCCGGCAACTGCTTCTCCCACTGCCAGGTCCAGCAGGGAGGCGTTTCCTGGCTCGCTGCCCCCGGCCTGTGCCCACCCGGCCCGGTAGAACAGGGCGACCCCCCCATGCCCCCAAGCCTCCTGGGTGCTGGGGGGGGGGGGAATGAAGTTCCAGACCCAGCAGCAGGAATGGGGCATGGTATGGCGGCCCGACACCCCCCGGGGGGGAGACCATCTGCCCCCCCAGGCAACCCTTCCAGCCCCAGCCCGTTACCCAGGGCTGAGACAGCCCCTCCCTGCAGCATTGTTAACCGGGGGGGGGGGGGCTGGCAGGGCGCCAGCTGGGAGGGGTTGGCAACATTCAATAGGAATTAGCTCCCCCCTCCCAGGCAGGAGGGACCCCCCCCACAAGTACCACGTGGGGAGGGGGGGGATGAGGCAGCATGGGGGGGGAGGTCTTGGCCTCCTGAGCTGAGGCCTCTGCCCACCCCGGTCCGGTCCGCATGGGGCACACAGACCTCAGACAGGCTCCAGTCCATCTCCCCCACTGGAGGCGGAGGCAGGAGGCCAGGCCGGCGCCGGGAGCTGTCCAGGTGCTGGAGACGCCCAGGCCCAGCTCTGCCCAGACAGGACGGCAGCTCCCCTCACGGCGTGGGGGGCAGGGCTGGGACCCCCGGGAGGGGGGTTTGGGGACGGAAGAGCCAGGGGACTGACCGACCTCTTGGAGGGGCCAGATCCCACCCCCGGTTCAAGAGAGACACGGGACATTATTGATACAGGAGCCAGGCACAGAGCTGAGTAGGTGCCGTGCCAGCTGCCCCCCAGCTCTGCCGGTGCCCCTCACTCCCGACCCGCAGGCCCCTGTTAGCCCAGCCCTGGGCTCCCCTGCCAATGCCCCTTTCTCCCGCAGTCTGGCTCACTCCAGGGCAGAGATGCCAACAAAGCCAAGCCCAGAGGGGAAGCGGCAATGTGCCTGAATGGGGAAGTTGGCCAAGACCCAGCAAACTCATCCCACTTGTGACCTTGGAATGCCGCACAGACAGAGCCGAGCCGTACCCGCCCCCACCAAGGAGCCCTCTCCAAACACCCAGCCTAGCCCGCGACCCCCACTCCCCAGTCATTCAGGCCTCCCGGAGCCCCCCACTCCCATCCCCCCTGCTTGGCTAAGAAACCCCTTACGCCAGCAGTGCCTCCCAGGGGGGGCAGAGTATTTGTGCCACTCATTGGTACACCTGCAGCCCCGATGCCAGAGCTGGGGCCCACAGAGAGACGCAGCCCACACCCAGCTCTCCCGCTCCTGTCGCCTCTGCCCAGGGCTCTCCAAAACCAGCGACTCGGGAACCACAACAAGCCAGAGAAAGGTTCAACCCAGGCCGGTGCTGGCAGCTCCCAGCTCGCCCCCATCCGTGCCAGGGCTCTGCAAACTGCCCACACCTGGGCTGCAAGCCACACACCCCTCCCCTACCCCCCCTAGCCCGCCTGGGGGACCAGGACTAGAACCTGCAACCTTCAGCACCAGCCTGCCCCATGGCGCTCCAAAGCACTGGAGCAGCTAGTCCCGTATACATCCTCTAGGACAGGACGTTGGGGGGGTGGGGGGAGCTGCCAGCCTGGCACTGACTCCCAGCATGCACCTGGCAAGGTCTCAATAAATAATAATGAATCCGCTCAGACCCCTCCGCTGGCTTGTTATTGTAGGTTCACCTGCAGGGGCTGGCTTTTGGTTATGAGGGCTGCGTTGTTATGGTACGGTTACCCACACGGGCTGGGTTGTTTTTGTAGGGTCACCCAAAATGGCGGGGTTGTTCTCGTGAGAGCTGGTTTGTTATTGTAGGGTCTCCCGCGAGGGCTGCTTTGACGGCGCGTGAGCTGCCGAGGATAAAGCCCCCACAGACGGCCAGGCTCAGACTCTCCGGTGACGGGGGCTGTGTAATGGCTACGCAGCAGGGCGCCCAACCCCGTTAGGCTCTTCTGCCAATCCCAGGCCCAAACCCCTCATCCCTCTGCTCCCCTGCCCCACAACCTCGTCCCTGTGGACGCGAGAGCCTCCTGCCCCGCGGGCGGCCTCCCTGAACCGTTCCACCCCTCCCTGCCTTGCCTCAACCCCCCTCCCCCGCCTCAGGCCCCCATGCAAACCCCCGGGGGCCCTAAATGAACGGGGGAGGGGGAGGGGGGATTCGGGACCAGCTGCTGTAGGGCGGTCACCAGCCAAGCTCGTTAATCCGGGAGCCGCGGCCTAATCCCTGCCCAGAGAGAGCTTCCCCTCCCCGGTGGCCTGCGCGGCCCCCGCCAAGGGGACTCCGTGCGCTCCGGCGAGTTCTCCACCGCCCCCACCCACCCCGCCGTTCCCCAGCCTCAGACGAGCAGGAGATGGGGGGAGGGGAATGACCATCCTGGCGTCGTCTGGAGCCGGGCGCTGGGCACAATGGAGGGGAGGCGCTGCGGGGCTGACAGAGCCACGCGGCCGGCATTGCTGCTGGGCGCGTGGACAGACAGGAAAGGGCCTTTATGCCAGGAGGAGAAAAGTGCAGGCGTCTACCTTCGCTCGGCACAGACGCCCCCCAGCTCCGGTCAGACGGCAGAGGGGGGTGTGTGTGAAAGAGCCAGACCAGGGGGACGCAGACTATGGGAGGCAGCGTGGTCTAGTGGCTAGAGCACCCAACTGGGATGCAGGACAGCTGGGCTCTAACCCCAGCTCTGCCCCTGCCCTTGGGTTCCCCTCCCCTGCTCAGTGACTCAGTTTCTCTTTCAACCACTTGTCTACTTAGCCAGGGAGCTCTGGGAGGCAGGGACTGTCTCTCACTCAGTATCTGCAACGCCCGGTCAGACAGGGGCCCCTGATCTTGGTCAGGGTCTGCCCCAGTGCGATGGGTGGGGGGGGGCATCTCAGCTGGAGCGTCTGTAACACGCGTCCCAATACCAGACCCTGCTGAGGGAGCCCGGGCTAAGCACGACCCTCACTCTTGGCTAAACCAAGGGGCTGATTTTGACAACCCCACCCTGGGGCCCTGCTCTGCCCTCACCTGGCCTATGGAGGGGCCCGGGATCCCAGGCTCCTCGACCACCCAGCCAGGCGGGCAGCTGCAGACAGAGCCACGTCAGGGGCGTGGACACCTTGAAGTAAACAACCTGCAGCCCATGGCGCGACCTGCACCATTTGCCCCCCCCCCGGCTCTGCCCGCCCCGCAGGGGCACCGGGGCGAGCTGGCACCGCCAGGCCGCAGACCTGTCCACGACTAGGGCGGGGCTTTCACCTTTCACCCTCGCAAGGTCAAGGGGGGGGGGTGAGGCAGCCACTTTGCGGGCTAGGGACAGACAGACGGACAGAAAGAGGGGGGATGAGGCAGCTGGAGGGGCTGGATGCAAGGGGGGCCCCCATCCCAGTGGGGCCCCCATCCTGGTGGGGGCAGGGATGGAAACCATTGATTCCTATTTTCTATGGGTCATGCACCAGTAGCCAAATCCCCATCCCTACTGGCCACACCCAGTTGCCTCCGCTGGGATGGAGGATCCGCAATACACCCCCCACACCACCACCCCCGCCACCTGCC